CCCCACCCCCGCCCCCGCCGTCGTCGTGCTCGCGTATCCGCGGCGGCCTTTGCGAGTTCGTCTATGAAAGAAGTCTGTAATTGTGGCGTGTGTTGTGGGCATGGCATCTGTGCGGTTGCCGACGTAAATTATGAATTTGGTGGTGGATATGTTTGCTGGATATAATGCATTCTAAAAGTTTTACATGGCACTTGCCATGGGCCGAATGTACTAGTTTCTTCTTTGAAGATTTCATAGAAGGATGGCCATTTTCTCTAGTTACAGATTAGATAATATGACGTTTGTACGATATGTATTGAAAACAATCATTTACACAAATATTTTTATTAAGCCTTTCCCCGATCGGGGGATGACATAACTCTCTTGTCATTGTAGTGATGATTGATACTACTTGTAATTTGAGCATCCTGTGAGAAAGAGAATTCTAGCTATAGCTGGTAGCTTCTGTCGTAAAGGCCTTTATTGCAAGTATTAGTAGAATGTGCAGGTATTGCAATTATTTTAGTAGAACAAGAAAAGTTTTCTCAAAGATTTCGTCAGATTTTACTTCAGACCTAATGCCAAATAAATTTTATGAAATATTACTGGCCCCAAATGCCCTCTACCTAATCTTTCCTAGACTTACAAATAGGATTTCCAAGTGGCAGAACAAAATAGCGATTATATATTTATCGTTGTTTATGCCAATGAGAACTTCTGGAGAGTACTATAATTATTCCATGGAAGTTACCACGCGTTCTCATCCGCTTTCATACTCCTTTCCTGGCGAGCTTGATCGCCCGTCTCTCGAGCGCCGCTTGTCAGGAATTTTGGGTTTGAGAGAAGCGCCGTAAATCATAGGCGTGCGACGTTTATGTTTGTTTACCGGACGCCGGCGAGCGCCGATCTCGAGGCCTCGGGGTGCGGGCGGCGACGGCGGCGGCTGTGCGTCGACGTAACCCTTTGCCAGTTCGGGCCCACGACAGGGTCTTGCGTTCGATTTCGTTTTTCTTTTTTTGCGACGCAGCCCCTTTTGTCTGAACATGGTGGAGGTGGCGTCGGCGCCGCCGTCGGTCGCGGGTTCCTGGCCGCGCTCGCGCGCGCCACGCCATAGGAGCGCGAGAAAGCGGGACACAAAGGGACGTGCGAGGCGCGGGCGAGAGGGTGGTGGCGGCGGAGGCGGAGCGCAGGTGAGGCCGCGCGTGGCCTCAGGGCACAACGCTGGGCGCCGCCGCCGCTGCCCACGCTGCCGCCGCCGCCACCGTCGCTGCTTGCGCTTCACCGCTGCCGTCGCAGCCTCCCCCTCCATGGCTGCCGTCATCGCTGCCTGCCCTTCGCTCCCCCTCTCCATCTATCACCCCTCGCCTCCGATACCACCACATCCTCGCTTATTTTTCCAACGCTGTCGCTCGTGAATTCCCGACTCCACGGCCATCCGAGTAGCCATGCCAATGTCGTCGGGAACTGTCGTTCCCACCACCGCCTTCTTCGTCATAAAGTGCCTCCTCCACCATCAACGCCGACCGTGGCGTACATTGCCGCCGCCGCCGCCGCCTCCACCACCACNNNGCGCGCGGCGGCGGCGGCGGCGGCGGCGGCGGCGGCGGCGTGGTCTTGCCTCGTCCGGGCCCCACGCTGCCTAGTGCTGCTCACAGTTGCCTGACGGATCTGAAGTTGATTCGCTGCGAATATATAATGAAACTTCCGAAATCCTTTTATTTGAAAACAGTTTTTTTCATTACGGACGAAATTAATTTTCATAAAATGATAAATTATTGACCCTTATTTTTAAAATGTTACTTTGTATAAAATGTCCATTTTACAAAATATGATTTATGCTCTACTAGAAACCTTGCGAATGCAATTCGTTTGACAGCTCTTTTCTATTGTCACTTCGGTCTTAAATACCGCGATACTAAACACAAGAATACTAACTGCTCTCTGAAATTTATCCACATGATCGTCCTTAGCATGGGCAGTTGCTTGCAGTAGCGCCCGAAGCGTATGCATTTCGAGCTTTTGTCTTTTCTATGAAAGAAGTCGTGCGGTGGCGTCTCGCAGGAATCGGGAATCTCGTGCATTTTGACCGTGGTTTTCTCCAAAGAGTAAATAGTGTGCACACTTAAAAGCAAAGAGCGTGTATTTCTAGCGTTATTGAAGACGTATTTCATTTTTCTAATAGTTTACTTAGGAATATTTGTTGAAGTATTTTGAAAAGTAATGCTACGCAATCTTTACCATGTCTCTTAAATTGTAGACATTCAAATAAAATATTCTTTCTGCACTAGATTCCTTAAAATTGATCTTCATAGGAATATTGTTTTGTTCTTTCGTCTGTAAAAGTAGACAGTTTTACAGAGCCGCTGGATTCAACGAACGGCAAGGATGCACAATATGGACAATGTAGCGCATATGCAAGTTAAATGTAAGTCGGCTTTCACGCATGGAATTTAACGGCGAAAAAGTGCATCGTAGGGACGGAACTTAACTTAGGTAACACCATGACAGTACGATATTTTACTTATTTTTGTTTACGAAAGAAAGGTAGCTTCTCCATTGTCGTGAGAAAGTGAGCAGAGTGCATACGCCATGCTTTAACGTTTTGTCACATACTTTTGTATTGCATACGAAATTATTGTTTTCCCATTAGAATATGATTTCTTGGCCGAGAAGAAAAACGTACGTAGCTACAAAACGTGAGACTAGTAGCCAATAATTCAGCAGGCATTGGAGTCTCCTATTCGCCGCTTGTTGTACTCGACCTCCGAATCACGATACGTGCGGGTCCTCCGCGCGTGCAGCTAACCGACAGCCCGGCGTATTCACCCTCGCGCTCGCTGCGGCGGTGGGTGGCGGCAACGGCTGAGGCGCGGAATGCGGTATCTCGGCTGGGGCATTCCTGCGGCGGACGGCGTTTTTGTAGGCGGGAAGACTCGCGGACCCGGAAGGTTCGGTGGAACTGGATCTTTCCGCAGCTCGGATAACGGAAGTGTTTCTCAGTGTTCTTCGCCGGGCGCTTATCTCTTTCGGGGGTTGGTTCGGTTCCGTCCGCTCCACGCCGTTGCCGCCGAGCGACCGCCGCTTACCGTCTACCGCTCCGCCCTTGTGCTGCCCCCTTTCCATTCTCTGACCGACAAAATGGTGTGCCAGTTTATATATATATATATATATATATATATATATATATATATATATATATGTTGTTTTGATGTATGTTCATCTCGATGAACTGAAATGCAATAAGAACAGTAGACATCGTATATGCTACTTATTTTACATTGTATCATTCTGCACGTTGGTCGTGTCAAGTGCACTGTTTGTGTCGAATAGTTAGTGTCTAGGGGGCCCTTAATAGGTGTCCACAATTTTTTTTATTACAAACATGCGAATAACATGTGTTTTACTGGAGAACAGTTCTGGCGAATTCGAGGGTATTTCCGTCAGATATTGGGTTCCTCGATTGTTTCTTATCTATTCTCTTCGACCAGATACTAGTGTC